CGCACCCCGGCAGCACCGGCTCCGCTCCAGGGCCTTCCACCGGGGCTCCCACCGGGCCAAGGCCGCTCAGCACCGGGGCCCGCTCCGGGCCCATCCCCGGCTCCTCCTCAACCGCAGCGTCCAAGCAGAGGAGCCGGGACCGGTAGGGCCGGTGCCAGAGGCTCCGGTTCCCCAACTTCCCTCCGCTCCCGGTGCCGGCTCCTCCACCCTGTCCCGGTACTCCCGGTGCCCCGGGGGGTCCCCCCGCACTCACCAGCTCATGTTCCCCCTCCGCCCCGCGCCGCTCCCGGAAGTGCCGCCGCTTTTGGCCCCGCCCCTTCCGGGAGCGCTCACATCCCCCCCCCTCGGGCCGCGCGCAGCAGTGACGCCACGCGGGGGGCGTGACGTCACATGGCGGGAGGAGCGTGACGTCACGGCCAAGGCGCGCGGGAAAAAGAGCCTGAAATTCGTCCGATTTCCGTGAAAATCTGGAAATGGGGAGGGAGGGAGTGGAGTTAAACCGCTGGGAGCTGTGGAGAGTCCCCAGGGTGGGCAAGGAGAAGGAATTGAATGGATCACCCCTGGGATGGGCAAGGAGAAGGAATTGCCTGGATTATCCCTGGGATGGGCAAGGAGAAATTGCATGGATCACCCCTGGGATGGGCAAAGAGAAGGAATTGCATGGATCACCCCTGGGATGGGCAAAGAGAAGGAATTGCCTGGGTCATCCGTGGTGTGGGTGAGGGCATGGGGAGGGAATGCCCAGGAACATCCCAAAAGTGGGTGAGGGCAGGAGCATGGAGTGCCCAGGAGCACCCTGGAGCGGGTGGCACAGGGTGGGGATGCTCAGGAGCATCCCTGGGGTGGGCAAGGGGAAGGAATTGCCTGGGAGCATCCTGAGCTGGATGAGGGCACGGAGAGGGGATGCCCAGCGTTAGTCCCTGGGGTGGGCGAGGGCACAAGGAAGGGATTCCCGAGGGCATCCCGGGATGGCCGTGGGCAGGGGTTCCCCAGGGACACTCTGGAGTGGGCCAGAGCAGTGGGAGCAGCAGGACTGCCCCAGGCAGGGAAATCCAAGGCATATGCGTCACCTTTGGAAGAGCGGGAACATGCAATTTTGGGGAGAAATCCCCCAAATCCACTTTGAGGAGGCTGGACCGGGGCTAGAGGGACAGCAAAGTCATTTTGGTGACCAAAACCCCACCTTGTCCTCAGCACTGACCTATCAGTCACCACCATCTGTGACCCTGGGATGCAGCAGAGCCCCCCCAAGATTTGGGTGCCCTTGGAGCCCCTGTTATCAGTCCAGGGTGACATCCTGGGGGTGGGAACAGGATTGGTGCCATCGGGCTGGTGCCACCAGCCACATGCCAGCGCACGGGGCGGAGGCTTGGGCTGAGCGTCAGGGGTGGCTTTATCAATTAGCAGGTGGAGGTAAACAGCGCTGTAATTACAGCCAGGGAGGATGATGCTAAACTGGGAAGGTGTTACCAACACCGCTGAGGACAGGGATTAGCCCAAAAGGAGCAGGGGGGGCAGATCTGAGGTGAGGGACACCAGTGGGGAGGATGGCAACCCCCACCAGTTGTTCCATTTTGTGCTGGGATGGGTGGAAAGGGGAGGTTGCAAGGTGGCCTGAGGGAATGGGATCGATTTTGGGGTGCTGGTGTGTGTCAGAGCAAACCCCAAGGGGAGGCAGCCAGGAGGGTCCCTCGCATCCCCATCCAGGTACGGGCAGGGTGAGGAGAAAGGAAGGCTGGGACCAGGAAGGTTTTTCCAGCTGCTGCTGCTGCTCCTGTCCCTGGCCCCACCGTGATGCCCCTCACTGTCACCTCGGGGTGCAGCGGGTGGGACAAGACAGAGCTGGGACGAGCCTGGATCTGCCATCCTGACGGCCACAGGACTCAGGGAGCATCTTCCTTGGAGGCTCTGCTGTTTGTCCCCCTGTCCCGGGCACGTGCTGGGAGGATGAGTCTGGCCCCTTCCTCCAGAACGCTCATCCAGGGGTGGGGATGGATCCACACAGTCCCACGGGGTGGGAGATGAGGGTCAGGCCATCCAGAACCATCCAGGCCTTCTGTGGATGATGTCTCCTGCCAGGCAGTGCCAGAAGCTGAGCCAGAGGCGAGAAGATCAGGGAGGGATCCCACCAACATCTGTACTCCAGCTGCAAACCAGGAGCTTCTGGCTGTGGATCCTCATCGCTCCTGAGCCCAGGGACGGGGTCTCAGCTCTTGGTGCTCCTCCTGAGCAGCAAATCCCATCCCGTGGAGAGCTCTTGGATCCAACCACATCCTGCAAAACCCTGAAGACCCTCAGCAGGGAGGAGTGAGGTGTTGGTGGCCTCCTCAGGACCCCGGTGCTCCCGTTGAGGAGGGAAAAGCAGCAAGTTCTGTGGAGCTGGTACGTGACTGGAAGCCCTTCCCTCCTCCCCAGAACACAGATAGCCCAGAACGGGCATGGAAAGTGCCGTGTTTCCGTAGCAACCAACATTTTTCGTGCAAGGTGCTGCACGCACTCCCCGCGCTTTGCCACCCAAGGGTGCTCCTCACCTTCCTGCTCTGCGCCAGGGAGGTCCTGCCCAGCACGGTGCCCGGGCCCGGCTGGCAGAGCGGGTCCCCAGGGCTTGGTGGGCTCCTTCCCTCCTCCTCCTCCTCCTCCTCCTCACCCATAGAAGGAGCCCAAAGCTTTGGTGCAGCCTTGGGTGGCTCCTCACTGGGGCAGCTCCTCTGCTGTGCACATTCCCAGGATCTCCAGTGTTTTCCAGCACAAGCCAACAGTTGAAATGGGCACCTCCAGCACCACCACAGCACCCTCAGGTGATGCTGGGGGCTGTGGTGGCTCTCCCTGTGGGTGGTGGCTCCGGTCCCTGCCCACCTGAGCCACACACGGGGTCACTGTGGGGGCTCCCAAACCATCCCGCAGCCCCTCATGGCTGCAGGACCTCTGGAGCACAGAGGGGAGGACAATCCCAGCTCATCCCAATCCAGCCTCGCATGGCCACCAAGCACTCAACCACTGGGAATCCACGCAGAGACACCGGGGCCCAGCCGGCGCCGTGCCTGTGGGCTCCAAAGCCAAGTCCTCAACAGCACGAGATGCCATCCCTGGCTGAGCCAGCTGTGCTCTGAGTCACCGCCAGCCCCTGGATTTTCCCCAGACTAAAGCCTTCCCAACAAACCTCCTGGAATGGGCAGAGCCGCCCTGGAATGGCCGGAGCAGCTTCTCCAGGCTCAGCTGGAGATCCAAATCAAAAATCAGGAAATGTGACAACATTGCCAAGGCTTTCACAGCCCAGGAACACCAGGAAAGACCACGGTGCCAATGGCAGCCACCGGCACTGCCAGCAAGGCCTCAGGAAAGAAGACTTTTGTGGGATACTCAACCGGTCACGCTCCACCCCAGCAGAGCTGGACCCGCGCGGACCGAGGGACCCCCAGAGCCCTGCTCTGGGATCCTCCAGCACAATCCCAGCTCCGGGAGCCTCAGTCCTCCATCCCCATCCCTGGGGAAGGATCCAACCACCACACGCCACCGCTCCAAACATCCAAGCGCCTCCAAAACTCCTTCTCCCACTCATTCCTCGTGCCCGTGCGAGCGCCAGCGCAGAAACCCGGCGGGTTATTTATATCCTGAGTGATCCAGGCTGGGAAAAAAAAATCCCCCACGGGCCCTGCCCCCGAGGCGATTTGGCGGGCGAAGGGCGCGGGGGCATTACCGGCTGAAGCGGCGCGATCCTCTTTGGTGGCCCAAAGTTATCCCGGCGGCCGTGGAAGCCGCCGGCAAAATGGTGACGGGGTCAAGGCGGCGGCGGCACGAGCGGGGAAAAACGGGATGGGAGGTCAAGGGCAAAGCGAGGAGGTGGCGGATTTTTGGGGAGAGGGTGGGTGCCCTACCCCCCGTCCCTGTTGGGTGCCCCCCATCCCGGTTGGGTTCTCCCTATGCCGGGAAATGGGGGACGCGAGGACGGAGCCGGTCGCCTTCGGGGTCACCCAGCTGGGTCTTGCTGTGCCGTCCTGTGGATAGAACTGAAGGAGAGGGAGGGGGGACTGAGAAAAAAAAAGTGGGTTATTTTTTTTTTAAAAAAATAATATAAAAAATAATATTTAAGGAAATACAGCACTAGGAAAAAAAAAAAAATTCTGTACAGACAGGTTTCAAAGTCACCCATAAAGAGACACAGCACCCACTTCCCTGCACATTTCAACCCTTTTTACACTCCCCTTACACATTAAAACCTTTTTTTTCTTTTACTTTCCAAACCAATATAGATAATTTTTAAGCAAATAAAGATATTTACTACAGATTTTGATTGTCAGCAAACACAATATATTTACTGCATTAGCATTTGCTCACAGTGCAAATGGTACAACAATACATCAGTTCAATATTTCTGATTTTTTCCCTTAAAAATGCTGTATGCATTAACTATCATATTTGCATTACAACATGACAAATGAGCAAATGAAATGTGTGTGAAAATTATCACCTTTTCACAATATCAAGCATAATTTTTTTTTTTAACCTTAGTATAAGGTACTATAAATCCAAGAAATAAAAACATCCACAAAATATATTACATCTGGTATGATTTTTTTTTTCTCTAAGTACTCAACTTTATACAAAAGTCTTTCAAAAAATATCATTCCCTTAGGTTTGTGTGGTTAAACCTGATTGTGGTTTGTTTTTTTTTTTTTTTTTTTTTTTTTTTTGTTCCTTTCAGTTCACATAAATTAGACTGCATTCTTCCTCTTCTCTTTATTTTTGTACGTTTTTAATGTGGTTTTTTTTGTGTTTTTTTTTTCACATGCAGACATCAAACCTGGATAGCACGACCTTTTGGCAACAAAGATTTTTTTTTCTTTTTAATTCATTATTATTTTTGCTTAGTTTAGCTTAAATGTCTGAGCACAGTTTTATTAAAACAAAAGAAGAAAAAAATCAGAGCAGTCATGCAATGACATGCACATACCAGAAGGAGAAAGAAAAAAAAAATAAAATAATAAAATAGAGGACTAATTGATTTTTCTCCTCCATAGTTGGGTGGTTGTTTTAAAGTGACCGAATAAAATAAAATAAAAATATCTCACATTATAAAAAGTATTCAGCAAAATACTGGGGTGCTTTTTTTTTTTCCTGTATTTCTGTAAAGAATTTCTCTTCTGCTGAAAACAAACAAACAAAAAATAATAAAAAGGAAAAGAAAACAAAAATAAGAAAACAAACCCAAAAGCTGCTGCCGGGACATCTCTCCCTGCTGCCCCCGGAGTTGGGGGGACCCGCAGAGCCACCCCCCGCCCCACCAGCCCGGCTTGGGGGGCTGAGCCCTCTTACC